CTCATCGTCAGTATCCCCTTTTCCTGTTACTCTACGAGTCTACATCTTAGTGTATGTGTATGAAAGGGTATTCAGTGGTCAAACAGTCTCCTGAAGATTGTGGAAAAAGCCGCATCAGCCACAAAATCTTGTTTCAAACATTGAAACGTCCGGGCTTCGGGACTGCTGGCAGAAATGCAATTTATTTTATTTTTACCACCTTCTCTCCGCGCTCGATTCCTTCCACTCCTTGTTTTATATAACTTCAATGTACGCATTCAGTCCTGCTTGGGTTTTGGCAAGCAGCTTACACCTCTTGCCCTTCGACGAACCCCTTATCCTTCGAGTCAAGTCACAGAGTCAGCATCCAAACCACTCCAATTAAGCATTTACTGTGCAGCTCTTTTTCCCAAAATAGCCTCCATCAAGGGGTTGATGCTGTAAATGAACATTCGCCTCAGCCCCCACAATACGGTTAAGGCGTTTTGCCTTGGCTGGTCCACCTTGACATCTCGTCGACTCGCAATGGAGCCACATTCTCCAAAGGTGTTTTCCATGTCGCTATCAGTCTCACTCCATTCCTTCTTTCGTTTGTTTTGATGCTTTACGGGTATAATTCCATACGTGAGCTTCTGTTGTTCTCTCCTGTCGTTTCCTGGTTTTGTGTGCCTCCTTTGGCTTTCTGGCGAACGAGAAACATTCATTTTGAACCCCTGGCGGACGGTTGACACAACCCAGAATCTCCTCCCAGCATCAAGCTTCGAGGAATAGAATTGTAGATGGCTACTCCAACTTCACCGCCCGCCATAATGGAAAGAAGACCGAGTCCACTTTCTCAATATGGGGTGGCTGCACCTAAGTCCAACGAGTCGGAGACAATTGAGCTCATTCCCACTAGCACACAGCAACCACATGACAAAGTCCCCACCAGGGGTCGCGCCATCTCCCTCGCCCTGAGTGATATCACTCTGCAAGATCGGATCAGGAGTAGAGCGGATTCCATTGCTTACAGCGACGCAACTCGGGATTCTTCAGCTAATTGGGACAACTATTGTCATGTCTCCTTGGCGACTGATAGCACGCGAAATGCCTCCTCGGCCAGCGTCCAGATTCACGGCGGGAATGGCCGTTACTCTAAACAGTCTCTGCTTTCGACCACCCGATTAATTGTAGATGATGAACCGGAAAAGAGAGCAATTAACCACGTGAACAAGCTCTGGACTCGTAAGTCGGTGGGACGGGAATTGCTCCGACGATGACTTCCTACTCTTTCTACAAAGTTGAATAGATGCACCTGTTCGGTGCATCGATTTTTATGAAAGAATGAAGAGTCTGGAGTTAAAGAGCTTCCCTTTTCCTCGTTTCTTGGCTTCATTCCACTGACATCTTCTAGCTTGGAGTCTCCGGCTGCCTACGCTGATAGCATTTTCTGTCCTCTTCTTGATTTTTTTCATTATTCTTGAAGTCCTAGCTGCGCTCTCTAGACGTGAACATGGATTAGGTACTGTTAGCTCTATTCCACCAGTATGGAGCTATGTGCCCGTCGTCATTTTCTGCATTCAAGCTGCACTCTGGGCTCAGCTAGAAATACGTACTAAGCAGCTTACTCCGTGGAATGCAATGGCCAAAGGTCCATCGCCTGCATCTCAAAGCATACTGCTGGACTATCTATCACCCATGAACATCATGTCGTTTTTTAGATCCCTTAAAAAGGGGCATTACGCGGTTGCTTTGACTATTTTTGGGAGCATATTACTCAAAATTATGATCATCTCCTCTGCGGCACTGATTGGTCCTCGGAGTTCAAGCATTACTCAACAAAACATCCCAATAGGTCTCGAGACTGCCTTTGATGCAAAAGCTATTGATGTCAAGTCAGTAACTGCGCAGGATGCCCTTGTTGGGGCTGCCATCAGAGCTGGCTTAATGCTTCAACCGGGAATCAATGGTAGTTGGGCCTTTCAAACCCTCAAGTCCCTCAATGACAGCACTGGTAAATGGTCCTCACTGCCCCCTTTTTTCCTCGTCATGGCTAAACTCTTAGTATAGGGGTCCAAATGGTATCAGCGCCGGTTGAAGCTTTTTTTGCTGATTTGACTTGCGAGCAGAGCACATCAATCAAGGTTAGCAATGTGCCTTGCGTGGATCCTGCCTCGACAGTATGTGAACAGCGCTGGACTTTTGGCGTTGCGTCGGCAGATTGTGACACTGGTCCTGCAACCGCGTTTGTCAACAGTGAACCAACTTCTAATGTCACAAGCACACAACGATTTGGACTTGTCGCCCGAGCTTTCTGCGGTGACACGAAAACCGACAATACAGCTCGACTGGTAATTACCACAGGCACTCTGGAATCGCCACCTGGGCTCAACACCACTAAGCAATTCGAAAATGCCATAGCTCTAGTATGCAAACCCAATTATACTATTCAACGAAGCATCTTGCAATCGGGCGCAAAAGGCGCTAGCATTAATCCCCCAACAAGTCCCGGTAATGGCACGACCTTGGAAAGCATTTCTCCGGTGCAGGTCGCCGATGCAGTCTGGTCCGCAGTAACACTTACTGGGCTGTCAACGACCACTGCTAGGACTAATCAAACAACGGCTGTTGTGTCCACGCGCAAGAACGCATTCAACGAGAGCGACTCTTTCATCAGCCTCATCTCTTTGATACGCCCAGACTTGGATCTAAACAGTCCTGAAGGTTTGGAAAGAGGATTTCGCGAAATGTATAGCATAACTGCTGCACAAATAGCCAAAAATCATCTCTTGAAGCCGACAGATGCCACGGTCGTAGCTTCAATAATCCGAGTCGAGAAGCATTTGCGGGTGCGAAACGTTCCTTTGCGTCTGATGGAAGTCGCACTCATTCTGCTCATCGTCACGAGGCTGCTGTTGGTGAAGACCAGACCGGCACCATCCACTCCACGAGACTTGAGTACTCTCGGGGGTCTGGCAACCGTAATGGGACAGAGCCATGGATATACACACACGCTACAAGGGTTAGGAGCGGCCACTATGCGGACAATAAAGCAAACCGTCGGTGCTCATCGTTTTCAAACATGTGTCAGTGTGGATGGAGAAGAAAAAGCATTCAAGCTCGAAGTTTTAGGCGTGGACAGCTCCTATCTAGCCCCCCGGATGATGAACATCCCAGCAAAGCCACAAGCTTGGTGGACACCCATTCCAGATGCAATCAGAATGGCCGTCCTGGCGGCTACTTTTGGCTTGTTGGTAGCTGTGGAACTTCTCCTCCAAAAATCTAAGAAGCATAATGGGCTTGCTGATATGAACTTGACCAGTGCTGTTGGCTACGCCTGGCTTTTTATACCGGCACTGCTAGCAGTCCTTCTTTGGCAGTTTTACACTGCGGTTGACTTTTCAACACGCCTGTTATCTCCGTACCTGGAGATGCAGAAGTCTCCGACACCAGCAGGGCGTAGCCTTCATACCAACTATCTCCCCAAAGTTACAGTCGTTGCTTTGAGGCATGCCATTGTCAACAAGCATTTTGCGGTGGCGCTGACTGCACTGTCTGTCCTGTTAGCTCCAGTTTTAATCGTCGTCAGCTCCGGGCTCTTCCAACCGAAGATGAGTGCACAGCGCATATCGACTAGCCTACCTATGCTCACCGCGTTCGACATGAAGAATGTGAGTTCAGTATCTGGATCACAGTTGCCCATCGCTGCTAGTCTAGTGACAAGCGGGAATGTCTCCTGGCCAAGGTGGACAAGGGACGATTTAGTCTTCCCCGAACTGAAATTGCCTGGGAACCTTGGGGCTACACCAAATACCACTTTGGACATTCGAGTACCCGCCATGTTCTCATTGCTAAATTGCACGCAAATAGCGGATAACGATATCAAAGCTATTAGCCAGGGAAACAGTACAAAACCATTCTCCAATCTCGCAATTCCTGTCAACAAAGGCTGCGGTTCACCTTGCCCCAACGATAGCGGCAGTGACTGCGTCTTTGCGCCTTCGTTCAATGCCAGCTCTGGAAGTATGTACGGCCGGATGTTCAACACGAAAACAAGCCCACCATCCAATGGCTGGAACGACGACTGCCCCCAGACCAGTATCGTCTGCGGTAAAGCCTCTGCTGATGGAGGTAGCCTTGAGAATTTGGTTGCAATCAATTGCTACCCCGCGATCATGCAAGTCAATGTCAATATCATCTTTTCCACCGGGAGTTGGTCTATCATGAATGCTACAGCGGATAAGAACGCAACCAGAGTGCTACATGGAGACAAGGCCATGATAGATCTCAGCGCGATTCTTGTTGAGTCGGCGTTCCGCCCAGCTCCTGCAGGTACCGACTTTGACATTCCTTTCCAAGCACTAGTCACTGGCCGTGATGGTATAGCGATGAACCAGCTCAGCGGTGAGAACAACGTTCAAGCTGTAAAGGATGGATTATCCAAATTATACGCCAGAGTCATGTCCCAGCATCTTAATCTCAACGCGCGAAGTGACTCAGCAGGCCCTTCCATCCCCGGCACTATCACAACAAACATGCTTCGACTTCATCAAAGCGAGCCTTCCACTCGAATCCTCGAAGTCATCTTGGGTCTGATGTTCCTCCTTGTCGTTGTTTCCAGTATCATCAGCGATACGCGCAAAGTGTTACCAAACAATCCTTGCTCCATTGCAGTCATGTCTAGCCTTATTGCTGAGTCAGAGTTCGTCAAATATGAGGTTGTACACAAGGGTAGTGAATGGTATGATGATGCTGAATTGGTGAAGAGGGGAATATTCGAGGGGTGTTTGTTTTCATTGGGTGTTTGGGAAAAGAAAATTCCTAATGTTTTTGGTATTGATGTTGGCAAGGCTGACAAGGCTGAATGAAGAGGTTATTTCTCTGTTTGCAGGTTTTTATGTTGGAAGCGTTCTGGTCGGCCAGTTATTCAAATGTAATATCATTAATGTACGTGTATAATTCAGCAGCAACGCTTAAGCTGGAATTTGAATGTACGAAACACGGACCCAAGGTCAATTCTGCCTCTTTGACAGACAAAAGATTGAGCTCGACCCGATTTGAACGGATGACCTCCTGATAAACCAACTATTGGAGTCAGATGCGCTACCACTGTGCCACGAGCCCTTTCTGTATCTGACATTACGCGTTGTGTAGAATATGACTGTGGAGAATATGAGGTGACTCTTCAGCGACCTATGGTTTAGATCACGTGGATAGGCGGTGCCAAACTTCTGTCGGCGCCTCAGCCTCGTCAATTCTTTTGTTTATCGGACTAACCTGACCCTTTGGCGCTAGCCTTGTTATCAGCAACAGCCAAATCCTTCTCTGAAACTATCGAACTAATAAACTCTAATCCATTGCGTTAAGTCGGACATTTGGTGAGCTATTGAAGCATCATTGAGGTGGGGCGAGGTGGGGAGACCATGAGCGCTGGCTGATCGAGAACTTAGTCTCTAGCGTCTGAACTGATGAGGATTAAATCGACTTCCTCTCGATACAATATCAGGCCTTCTGATGAGACCAAAGTCTGGATTCTCGGTTGCTTCACCTCTCTTTACCAAGATCAAGCGCTAAACCCAGATCTGTCTGGACCGGCCCGCAATAAATAATTTCGGCGCTTGGCGCAAAACGTGGCTCAAGAGCTTGGAGAATTGAACAAATTTGTGACATGGGAATGGTAACAGTCCACACGTACAGACCCGGATAATCAGAAGTTCTAAGACGATGTCCAATTACACATACCATGAGGAAGCCTGTGATATCTCAAATAGAGAGTGGTTCCTTGTATGCATGAATACCCTTCTAAGCGCCCAGTTTTGCACTTGCGCATTTGATTGTCCAATCAATTTGACGAACACACCTTGCAGCACTTCACTCGTCGACACCCCAGCCCTCTTCTGCAATCCCACCATTCAGGACGGTGAGTGCCTGTATGCAGATGATGGCCCCATTCGTGGCCTGCGGTGCCTCTACTGCTTCCTTTTCACTATCACCTCGATCACGCCGACCATTACCGATACCATCTCAACATAAGCATATGTACACACCTCTCAACTCCCATCCTCGGATCTCGCAGCGAGTCTGTCTCCTTCAGCCATGAACCGCGCAGTGAAAGCTACTCGTCTCATCATCCTGCCTCTGCTGTTGTCGTTTGCAAACGCCGAGGGCACCTCTACAACTTCTCAAAGTGCTACTTCCACCATATCGTGCGATCGATTTCAAAAGACCGGATTTTGGGATATCGATATCGACAACCGGCCAGCTTTAGCACCAGAGTGTGGACCTCCACTATCCTTCCACGCAATCCGCGATACATCCAAGCTTCCAGCGCAAATTTGCGGCATAGTCGCCTCCTATATATTTTGCCTTTTCATTGTTGGATCTCTCTTACTCGGTATCGGGCGAAGGTTAAGACGCGGTGCGGAGACATCAGAAGCGACCCTTGGAATCGAAATGGTGAACCCGAACAAGACATTCGAGCTCAACTCGCCAGTGGGCAGCCAACGATCATGGATAAAAGGTGGATTCAGTCGTCTCAAGGTGCACAGCAGTGCTGCTAGCATGGCGAGCAGCAATCCAGCAAGTCCGATGCATACAGTTTACAGCCCCAAGGAATCTCATGCGTCTTTCGACAACAAAGTCGTTGCCAACGATCAGCAAGCACGACAAGCGGAAATGGAACGGTTGTATGCTGCGGTCATGGTTCACGAAGAGACCAAACGGGCATCAGAAGTCACTCGCGCATCTCAAGCTCCAACGTTCCGATCAAATCAATCTGTCCGCGACCTGGATGTCAGTCCAGTGAGCCCTCCTAAGCCTTCAATGGAAGGGAAACGCAAGCTCCGAGTCCAGATTTCGGATGCACCTCAAGAGGTTATTCCTCAAATGGTTATGCCACCTCCACAAAGCCCAACACAAGTTCCAAAGAGCCCATACCGAGCCATTTATCCACCCTACCCAAGTCCAGGTGGTTACAGTTTCACCAGTGGACACAGTCCGCAAACGCCGATGACACCTATGACTCCTGCGCCGCAACGTGTAGAATTGCCAAATGACATGTATCCCGCTTCGCCTCCACCCCAAGGGCGACAGATGCAATTACCACCACTTCACCCACAGCAGGAACAACAACCACCACCAACACCACGAAGCTTCATCCGCAAATCACGTCACGGTGATGATACTTCCTCCACCAGTAGCAACAAGTCAAAGAAACACTCCCTCAAGAATTTGCGCATCAGCGGTCCAGTAATGGCGAGACCCAATGACGATGATGCGGAAGACCGACAACCCTTATCCCCTAGATTATACAATCCCCCACCACCGCCAGGTTTACCAGGGCAATGGCAACCAAGCCACTCACGACAGGAATCAGGATCGGGACCATTGACCGGCCGCAGCACCGACAGCGATACCTACGCCTCGGAGCGACTAGACGAACCCAAACCCCTCCCCATGGCCCAACCCCACCGCCGCCCCTCAAACCTAACCCTCCAACTCCCCCCCTCGGGCAACCCCTCCCCTTCCAAACCAACCCTAACCTCAGCCGCCTCCTCCACAAATACTCTCCCCTTGCGAGCCTTCCAGAACACCTCCGAGCTATCCCTCGCGCCTTCATCCTCCGCCAACCCCCTCTCCCCGGGTCCCATGAAAACCACCTTCCTAGAACGCAAGTTGAACAAGATTGGGGCAGGACCGCTTACGGGGCGCACGCCTAGAACCGGTGTACCGCAAACGCCGTTTAGTCCTTATATGCCGTATACGCCTATGACGCCTGTCACGCCGGGACTTGTGAATAGGAAGATGATGAAGGAGAGGGCGAAGGCGACGGGGAGGAAGGTGCTTGTTGAGGAGGACGTTGTGAAGGATAGTGATGATATGTGGGACAATGGGTATTGATCAGGGGGTATTTTTGGTTTGGTGTTTAGGTGGGTTTTTTCTGGTTGGGACCAGGTCTTTGAAAGACTTGGGTGGTGATTTACCATGTTTCGTCACAAGCCTCTGTAGGAGTGCTGCCCTTTAGGGACTTTGGTTCGTCGTACTTTACTTATAATTCTATCCTTCTTCAACGTTTGAGATGATCTGATCAATGGATATGCTTCGAACATGGAAAAAGGACAGTTGAGAGAGATCCGGTATTGCACGTTGGGGAGTGTGGGAAATGCATTCGTCCATATATTCAAAGTGCTGCTGATACCACAATGGAGTTCATTTTCTTTGGTTTGCCGACACTGGCTGTTCTTCCTGCTACTCCCACTTGCCAGTTGAAACTCGGATGCAGCCGGAATCCTTCAAGTCTATGAACCAAAACGAGAACTCCTTAAAAGTTTTATAATACTATTAGCTCCTACTTTATAACGGATAGACTAGTACTAGGGGTATTTTATATAGTAGAAAGCTCACTTATAGAGATTCTTTATTTCGGAATCCTACAGGCCCTATCCGAGTTTCAGTTGGCGCGAGGGAGTAATACAGATTTATGCTGATGCTACAATGCCAAGGAAACGACAGTCAATCAAACCTGAGGTCTGATTGTACTACTTCCCTACTAATAGGTGGTAAAGTTAGGCAGGTAGCGGAGACCAGATCTGCCCTGAATGCGCGTGCCCCATTTATCATCTCTCTACTGGCCTCGAGTTGCCTGGTCGCTAGCTCGATATACTCTTCCCATCATCGCGATCATGGCTTATTATCGATTGCCTACCACACGCCAGTGTTCAAATTAATCTCTCGGCGTAGCTTGAGCGTGAAGCGAGTTGTGAACGTCACCCGTTTAAATATCTCTGCGCTCGCCGCCTTAACTTCTGCACTGACTCGCCGTTTTTTTCTTCTACTGTCGTGTCCGAGCCTGAGTAAAATCAACGAATGGTGTGAAGTCCATTCTTCGTTATGAAGTCGACGCTCGCACACGTCTATGTTGTGGCTCATCAGATCCTTGTGCAAGGGGGACGTTGCGGGATGTCGTCGCTCTAGCAGTTCGTTCTGCGTTTGTCGACTTAACGACAGCCATTTTGGGTAGACTGTTTGAATTCGAATATGATTGCACTACACTATCAGTGCGGGAGTGGACATGTTCACTTGACTTTCCCACCGGTAAGTCGGTCAGTGTACCAGGAGTAGTCTTTGGTTGAAATATGAGTTCTGGTACCAGATGTTAGCTCGCTTCAATAAACTCAATTCGAGGAGAAAAGAGCCACGTACTATGTGCTTCTATGCAAAATCGCGAGAGAAGAGGCGCCCATAACAAGACCGCTGTCGTTTGACCGTAGCCCCACTCATCGTCTTGGAACGCGGTCCCGCTCGTCCTCTTCACAAGCATGCGTGATTGGATGAGACTGATAAGAAGGTAGACCGACGCGCTACTAAACGAGATCATACCCAGTAGACTTATGACCGTATGAAAAGGTATGGTGTAGGCAAGGCAATATGGCCGGATAGTAGTGGGAGTGATATAACCACCCCAGCCTTTGATAATGAAGATGGTAATAAAGGTGAAAAAAACGGTGAGAGACATGGCTAACAAGAGCTTATCGTCCCATGTGTAACCTCCAATACTGATGATTACCCGAATGATATCTGGGAAATCCTCCGTAGTCTCAGAGCAGGCTGTGGCAATGTCTTGATAGATTCTTCTTGCTGCGGGATTCGGTAGGAGACCAGCTAGGTAAAAGGCAAGATAGCACGAGAGCATTGAGGCCTGAAGGACCATCCAGCTAGTCCTTGCTTTTCTCCCATGCAAAAACTTATCTACGTACTGGATGACGATAACATTCATTGTTAGTATACTCTGGTAAGCCGCAAGTCTGCGGAGCAAGAGTATTTCCATCAATGCAGGGGTTTGAAGCCCTCGGTATGAGGCTGCAATGATGAGGGAGCAGGTGAAGAAGAGGTTGATCTCAAAGAAGGTTGTTTAAACTTTTCGCAACGGAATCGAGAGGGAGTTGATGTATCGCTACGATTTGAATTTGGCTAACCAGAGCAGGACTGTAGTGAGGAGACCCAGGACGACTGTCGATGACGCCTGGGCTATATAACAAATAATGAGACCCTTTCCGGACAAGTCCTTGTTTTTGTCAGTTTTGTCCCCGGTTTGAGAGGTGGGACGAACGGAAACTTTGACTTAC